TTTACAAAGATTATACAATACTTCAAGTGCACTGTAGAGTATTTCTACATAGATTCTACATATTTTTATTTAAAAAAAATAGTTTTGCACCACCAAACTTAAAATCGATTATAAAAAATTGATTGAAAAGTCAATTGAAAAATAAGCCGCGATGTATTTTCTCATTGTTTAAATTGAATATATATAGTTTTACTCTTTTAGTATTATCAATTGTGTTAATGTATTTTTTTTAAATATTAATCAAAATTTAAATAATAAAACATATTCATTTTATTTCCAAATAGTTGACGAAAAAGTTTTTTTTTGTTCTTTGAAAAACTAATTGTAATTTTTATTATTCAAAAAATTTTTACCAGAAAATTTGTATGTTATTCTAGTTTAATGACATATCTGAATAATTTATTTAAAATAAATTTATTTTTCAATCACTCTAAATACTAATCAAAATGACCTTAAATTGAAGCATTGCAGTAATTTTCTAGTTTCATTTGATATGATTGAGATACTCTAGAGTGTAATACAACTTTCTCTACCATAATTATTTGTTGAGCTTTTTTAAAAATTGTTAATTTTATATTTATGTATTTTAAAATTTATATAATATTGAATTATTTATTGAACACAGAGGAAGTACCCAACTAAATTTAATCATAGAGAAAAAAGTATAATCATGCAGACTGATACTTCTTATGCTGCCTAATACATAATAAAGAAAATAATTCCCCAAATTAGTTGTCTTAATCTTTTGTTTAGATTATTCTCAAATAATGTTTTCTAAAGGGAATCATTATTATACAATTTGAACAATATTCAATATTCTATAATAAAAAAGGAACTTGACTATATTTTATTCTTAAATATTTTTTTCCTAATTTTATAAAGTATTCCAATTAAAATTGCAATTTAATGAGAACTTGTATAAAATTATATCAATTGATACTAATATAAAAACACTTTAATAAAAATTTACATAATTTATTGCCACTTTAAAAAAAAAATAGTCTTTACCTAAAAAAAATAGTCTTTACCTAAAAAAAATATTTTTAAAATGACCATGATGCCCTTTGTCGACCTCCTCTTCTCTCTTTTATATAATAGAAGAAATAGAAAAAACTTTTTATTGTTAGAACTTAAAAGAGGTGACTCAGCCGCTTTTAGAAAAAGACAAACTAACCTAGAGATCTAAAGTGGCGGGAACCAAGTGTCAGAAACCACCAGAAGACTATAGTACTAACCCTAATTTTCAGAAACAATTCTCAATCCATTTTCATCGTCCTATTTATACAAAAACTTAGCAAAGATAGCACCGAAAGAAAGCTTTGAAGATTTATCAATCTCAACATCAAAGAGGTAAGAGAAAGCTGCTTCTGATTTCAGTAATAGAACCATTTCCTAAAGTTGTTTTTATTTTATTTCCAAGTTTCAACCAAAGGGAAACCATCAAAATCCATCTTCGAACTAACAATGATATAACTTATATCAGTTTGTATTTGAATTATATTAGTCTGCTGGAAACTCTTTTTGCTGAAATCTTGGTTGATATTCTAATTCTGTTGACAAGTATTAGCCCCAAATTTAACGGGATTGGGGTTGCGAGGAAGCTTAAGAGTGTTCTCTTCTCCTTTAAGTTGCTTTCAAGTACTGTTTTGATATTTTGGAATTAGTTTCATTGCTTAGGCATTCGCTTATCTGTGTTCCCAGCTGCCTTAATCATGATTTCTGCAGATTCTTGTTTTATGTATTAATTTGGTTTTTCTATATAAAAACAAGTATATACAAGCAAACATGCAGAAATGCAATTTAGTCCATCTATGACATGTTATATGAATGAAAGGGAAACGATTAACGGACTATTGCAATTCTTCCCATCACGACAAAGCGAGTCACTCATGATTCGATAGTTCCATTTTTCGCTGATGCGTCCCAATGAAATCCCAGCAGTCAAACCAATGTGTTTGTTCCGCACCCTCCTTCCAATCAAATCTATTCCAAGGTGTTCGGAGGCAGGGGAAAGAAAGGAAGGATTGAGCCCCCGGGTGCTAGACCGAACATAAGTACAAGTCCAAAACCATCATACGAACCTATAGGAACCTTCAAATCATGATTCTCAATCCGTTTAGCTCAAATGTTGACTTTGATTAACTCTCTTAACTTAAGGCTTCAAGTTAGCAACCAAGTGTAACGTCGTTAACTTTTATGTAGGATTTTCATTTTATAGGGGTATTAAGTGTTTGATTTTTGAAATACAGGGGGTGTGCCTTTAACTTAGTCATATGATAACTGATAAGGGTGTTTAAATTAATTTACTCAAGATTAAACCCTTCCTTTTTGTTATGAACACATGTGATTAAATGATAGGAAGTAAATTTTTTGAATATTCACCTTTTTTCTCTGTATTCTTTAGCTCGTTTTTGGTCATGCTTTAGAAAGTTCTGATTTTCGCATTCTATTCACTGGTTTTCTTGATCAATTGCATTCTATGCACTGATTTGGTGTTCTTATGTTCTGCTTGTGGTACTAATTTCGTTATCAAATTACCAGTGATGTTGAAACTATAGAACAATTCTGTGGCCTTTTATCTACTTTCTGTTGAAGTAAGATGCATTATCTGATGTAGGACTGGTTATAACAGATAATGTCCATGGCTACAATTTTAGGCCTAGATGCAAAAACCATGTCATGAGTTTTTAGTACTTCTTTTGCCATCTCCCTAGAAGTAACCACAACTGCAGAAATTTCACCTAACTGAAGGTGCATAAGTGGTCCATATTTTTTGGCTAAATCTCTAAGGACATGGTGTGGTTCTCCACCAATCATATGAAGCATACTTCCTAGTATTGGTATTTTCCATGGACCTGGTGGCAATTTTTTGCTTTGGCTATTAGAGTTCTTCCATTTCCTCAACAAAAATAGGAAAGATAGGAATAGGAAAATGGAAACCAAGCTGAAGAATTGCATTTTCGGAGATAAATGGAGGATTATTAGATGATTCTTCAAAGTCTAGTTTTGTGAACAACAATGTTTTTCTTTTATGTGCATCTAATCTTGTTGACGAAGATACCCCCATTGCCTACAACAACAAAAAGAAGGCAACAAAAAAAATACAAGTACAAGAAAGATGGTTACCTGTCAAGGTGTATCAAATTCGAAAAGTGAGTTCAAAGTATTGCCTAGAACAATTTGGCATGATTCGGGCCGTGATTTTTGGTGCTCTCTGAGTCTAGGTTCTACCAATTAAAACGGTTTTCAATTCCGACATTCCAACATCGAGATACGAAAGTTTTGGTGAAGTCGGGATAATCTGAAATTGTTGGCGCATTAGAATATAGAGCCGACTTCAAAAACTTCATCTAGAATGATCCTGAAATGGTTTAATTCTGAATTTTGGATATGTTGTATATATTGAACTCTAGGTTATGCGGAATTAAATGGTTTGCGATTCCGAACTTCCTACATCAAGATACAAAACTTTTGGTGAAGTCTCACAAATCTAAAACTGACGGCGCATCAGAATATAGAGCCAACTTCAAAAAAGTCACCTGGAACGATCTTGAATGTGTTTAACTCTGAATTTCGGATATGTTGTAGATCTTGAACTCTAGTTTCTGAGAAATCAAACGGTTTGTGATTCCGAGGTTCCTATATCAAAATATTCCGAGGTTCCTATATCAAAATATAAATTTTTTGGTAAAGTCAGCACAAGTCTGAAACTATCAGCATGATAGAAATTAAGGCTAACTTCGAAAAATTACCTAGGGTGATTCTCAAAGATTTTAATTCAGAATTTCAGATATGTTCTAGAAATAAAAGTCTAGCTTCTGTAAAATCAAACGGACTGTGATTTGGACTTTTCTACAGCAAGATATTAATTTTATACCACAAGATGTGCTGGCTGTAAAAGGGTGACAAAAATTGAAAGAAGAAGAAGTTACCCGTCAAATATGCACTCGAGAAATTGGCAAACACTACGAATTGATATTCACAACCGAAGAGCATGCATCTCTATATATATATATATATAGAGAGAGAGAGATAGAGAGAGATGCCGAGAGGGTTGCAAAGACATATTAGCGATGTGGAAGTCAGTAATGTAATTTATGTCCCGAAGGAATTTAGTCATTGACTACTTCAAGTTCAAGTGGGATTTGAAGACTATCAAACACTTCTTATTTGGTTGGTGATGTGCGGACGACGGCATTCCTATATGAATAGGAGTCCTTTGACTCTGAATGGCCACGTAAAGAATTGCTATGTCAAATAATACTTTTCTTAGTGCAAAGAATGGAAAAAATTTACGTTGTGTAGGTTTAATGCAAAGAATGGAATTTAAAGTGGAAAACAGTTTCATGAAAACTTTCTCCTACGTGATGACTGCTGTTTTGGTCATTATGTGTATATATACATGCCATTAGTAACATTGAAATTCTTTTCTTAGCTCGAGGAAAGTAAAGATTCAATACGAGATAATTTTTCAGAGGACAAATATGACTATTACGTGTACTTCAAGCCTAATCTTTGAGTCGCAATTAGTGTACGCTCCGATAAATCTTGAAGTATGGGCATTTGTAAGCATCTAAATTTTATTGAATTTAAATTCATAAAATTATTTGGACAAATATAATAATTTCTGCAACTTTTGTTACCTATGATTAGAGCAGACTTTGTTTACTTTCCTGTTGACCATTAATTATTCCTAATCAAAATAATTCAGCTGACTCAAAGAATAACAATGATGTGCTAATTATTAGTCGGGAAAATTCCTAGTAATGTGTGGGGTATGGCCCAGAAAGACTTTGGCGGCTGAAATTTGATAGTATTATAAGTATTAACAAATAAACTTAGTCTTGTGTTCCTTAGAAAGTGAAAGTGGAGAGACAACTTAGTTTTGTTTGTATGTACCAAGTTATACATGTACTGTGGGATGGTTGGAGTTGTATCATTCCTAACCAGAGATCTAAAATAATCAGAGCTTTTTATTTCCTTCACGGGTCTACTGACACAAATTTAAATTAGTCGGGCTAATAGACTTCGAATACCAGAGGGTCAAATCAAACAGAGTAACATGTAATAATATCTACTCCTTCTATGTCAATTTAAATGAGCTAGTTTGATTCGATACGGAGTTTAAGGAAAAAAAAGACTTTTAAAATTTGTGATTATGATTATGAAACGAGGTGTCACATGGTAACTTTTTAATTGAAAGAATTATATTTAAAATATTTATTTGAAAGGATTTTTATGTAGAAGGTATTATATGAAAGAATTATATTTGAAAGGTAATTATTTGAGAAAATTATATTTGAAAGAGTGTTATTTGAAAGAATTATATGTGAAAGACATTTATTTGAAGGATTTGATTTATTGTGTGTAATCGTATTTATTAATTGCTATGCGATACTAATGGTATTATTGTTGTCTGCTGTGCATATTACTGGTTGTTTTATGTTGCCCTTATTGTTATTCGCTTCCTATTATTTTGTATATTATATTGCACAGGTTATTAGACTAGTGAGTGTCTTGATTGTACCTCGTCTCTACTCCACTGAGGTTAGTCTTGATACTTACTGGGTACCGACCGTGGTATACTCATACTACACTTCAGCACATTTTTGTGCAGAGCCAGGTATTGGAGTTATTGAGCTTGAAAAGAGTTAAAGCGAGATCGTAAGAATTTAAGGTAGAGCTGCTTGGTCGTCGCAGTCCCTTGGAGTCTTTTCATTTCATTGTACTGTTAATTTTGAATCAAACAATATTGGTCCTCGTGATCATTCCATGTATTCAGTTAGAGTTCGTGACTTAGTACTACCAGTCTTGGGAGATTGTACATTCATATTTGTTCCGCTGTTAGTTTTGGTTACTTATTTAATTAAAAAAAAATGGCTCCAAAAATGTAATTGAAATCGGCTTACTTAGTCTTAGAGACTAGGTGCCATCACGACTGCCTGTGATGAGATTTTTGGGTCGTGACAAACTATTTGTAGAATCATTCGTCAGATACTAAATTATTAATAAATAATTTAATGATTAATCATTTGTAGGATCACTCGATAATTGATGGATTATCAATAATTTAATGTTTAACTATTTGGAGAATTACCTGACATATGTTCAATTACCAAAAACGCAGGTACATCTTCAAGTTCCGCAACCATCGAGCACAGCAACAACATCCAAGGTCTGCACGCAATGTGCAGAAGTGTAGTATCAGTACAACCGACCCCATGTATTGAGTAAGTAACAAACCTAGCCGTAGGTTGAAAGTAGTGACGAGCTTCTACCAAGGTTGGGTCCAAAACTACTAGTCCACAACAGTCCATAACAACATAAAGCAAATAATATCAGAAGTAACT